GAAGCTTGAATATGCTAGTATCGTGTGGAATCCATCATTTAAGTATTTAACCGAATCTATAGAAAAAGTTCAGAGACGGTTCTTGAAATATCTGGTGTTTCGGATTGATGGCATATATCCCATAAGAAACATTCCTCAAAAATTATTGTTGGGTAGATTTTCCATATTAAGTTTAGAAGTGCCGAAGAATTATAAACTTAGTCATGTTTTTACATTCCCTAGTAAACAACAGATTGGACGCTCCAAGTTTACTTGAACAAGTGTGCTATTGGGCTCGACCACGTAGTTTACGAGACAAAAGCATCTTTTATATAAAAAAATCTAGGACGAATATTTTGAAGTTCTCGCCTATATATATGATGCAAATGTATTTTGATAAGTTCAATGCCGATGTAAATATTGATATTCACGTGGTCAGTGGCCAAGTACTTAGAAAACATCTAACAAATTATTTTGATATTGGTAGTGGTTTCTGATCAACTTCTTAAGATTGAGATTGGTTTTCTATTGGTTAAAACATTAAATTTTCAACAGCTTACTACAGAATTGATGTTCTTTTTTTGTTTGTTTTTTTTACTCCTTCGTTAAATGAATAATTATTTATTTATGTGTTTTTTTTTGGTATTTATGGTTTAAGCTTCGTAATTGGGTTGCGACCTGTGGAGCTTATATGGTAATAATATAATTAATAATAATAATATTAATGAATTTTCTGTAATAACCGAGTAGTCCTAAAAATCCTTTGATCTCTTTCTGGGTTTTCGGTAAAGGGTAGTTCATGACTGATTTTATTTTATCGGGGTTTGGTTTTACTCCATCGGGTGTGATAACGTGTCCTAAATATGCAACTTCTTTTCCTAAGAATTCGCTTTTGTCCAGTTGTATTTTGAAATTTGCTTTACTTATTCTTTCGAAGACTTAGTCGTGAAATATGTTCTTCAAGTGATGTTGAAAAAATGATGATGTCATCAAGGTAAACGAGACATTTTTCATTCTATATTCCTCTTAGAATATTGTCCATAACTCGTTGGAAAGTAACTGGGACTGTCGTGAAGGCTGTTTTTTGTGTGTCCTCAGGGTGCATTTCCACTTGGTGAAATCCTGAGACTAAGTCAAGTGTGGTGAAGTACATGATTTTTCCTAACTTGTCCAAAATGTCATTGATGTTTGGAATGGATACTTGTCGTCGATTGTTTTTTCATTTAATTTTCAGTAGTCTATTACGACTCTCCATTTTTTTTCACTTGAAGCGTCCATTTTCTTATTTACGATCCATATGGGTGACAACCAAGGTGAAATTGAAGGTCGAATTATTCCTTGTCCTAGCATTGAGTATATTTGTTTTCGTACTTCTTCTTTGTGTACTTCTGGGTATCTGTATGATTTTGTAAAAGTTGGATTTTCGTCTTTGGTTCTTATTTGATGCTTAATTTGGTTATTGAACATTAAGGGTAGACATCCGGTGTTAAAGACGTCTCGATAAGCTATGCATAATTTCCAGATTGCGTCTTTTTTTTCTGCGTTCATGTACTTCATTGAATTCATATGTATTCACCGTATTGATTTCTAAAGGCTTGAATAGTGTGAAAGTCAATTCTTGATGCGTTGGGTTGATTGTGGTGGTCGTTGCTTTTTTGTCCTTGACATATGAGGCTGGTATTTCGGCTGTGTCGAAGTTTTGGTGGTGTAAGATTTCTTCTGTGACATCTTTGTCGACAGGTATCTGGATGATTTGTTCTGTTCTTGGTTGAAGATTCATTTGAAAAACTGCTTTTCTTCTTTTTATTTCATCACATTCAAAGTAAATGGGAACTATGGTTTATCAAAAAATTCTTTCCAAAATATAAACATGCGTTTAGATCGTCTTGCAAAAATTAGCGAAATTGAGATTGTTAGCCAAAAATTTTGATTTGGAGAAATTTCTTCAGATGTAACACCTTCATTAGAATCAGCTGTTGCGAAAGTCTATTTTGATTGTCCATTGTGGACTTATGCTGATATCATAACAAGCGTATGAAAGCGAAAAAGAATATACTCGTATATTTCAAACAACGAACTGACAGAAACTAACCACAGTACGAAGAATAAAAATGACCCCAAGATAAAAGTTGATTTGTTTTCGACAAATATCAATTTATGTTCAATTGTTAATTTATTTACTTAATTGGAAACACTATATTTTGGATCCGAAAACTGTCTTTTCAATGGTAAAAATGACTTATAATTAGTATTCATGAATAAAATTTACACTTGGGGCACTCGAATATTAAGATCCTTCATAACAACACCTTACATGTATTTTAAGTACACTATCACGGCTTTATTTTCGTGAGTGGATTGTAAATATGCGTCGAATTAAAGGTACGGATTATTCTGAAGGTGCTGGAAAAACGCTTTGGAACGTTACGGCTAAGCCCGTATAAGAAGAACATTTTAAGGAATACAGGAATTTTAAATCAGTTTACGAATGTTGAATTCAAATCTGAGAGAACTGTAAAAAACCTAAGCCGGGAACGATTACAAAATAAGTAAACAAAATAAATTTTAAACAGTACTATGAAATAAATTTATTATTTTATTAATAGCAGATGTTTTTGATGAGAATATTTAAATTGAAAGAACTAAAATACTCCATTTTTAACAATTAAATGAATCTTCTAAACTAGATGAATATAATGCAAAAAAATAAAGGTTTAAATTCTATGTGAAATTTGAAGTGTTGAAAGCATATAAAAAAACTCCGTATAAATGTGATAGTGTGCGATAGCAATAAGGCTAAAGATATTGTAGCGACAAAAACATTTACATAGAAAATTACAATATGGAGAGATAATATGAAATTAAACTTTTAACTTTTTAAAAAGGGTACCTTCAAAAACAAGGTAAAATCCCTAAAAAACGTTTCATGTTACCTAGTAGTCACATGATTCTGCTAACTTTAATCAAACTCATAATTATTCCTTTAACAAATTTTTAAAAATTTTGGCACTTAACAAATGTTCGAACCGCGCCCTAATTTGGTTCTTCTTTATTTCTCTACACAAGAACTGCTGACACCAAATTTTAGGGCATTTGGAGAAACCTTTAAAATCTACCCCAATACAAACTGCAAACTGGGGCTTAAAAATACGCCAATCAAGTCAGAACTCGACATTTGCTTATTTCTCAAGACGAGGATTAATGATACGAAATTTCAGCTCTTTCAAAGGAACCCTTAAGAACCACCCCCAAAACAGCCTTGCGGACAATTGGTTAAAAATACCTCGATCAAAGCAAAACTCGTTCGGAGAAATCCTTAAAAACTGCGACCAAAACGACCTTACAACCGAGGGCTTCAAAATACATCTATCAAGTGAACACTTGACATTTGTTTATTTTTACATACAAAGAGTGTTGATCCAAAATTTCATCTTTTTCTAGGCAACCTCTAAGGACTACAGCAAAACAATATGACAGACTGAGCCTTAAAAATGTTCTTATCAAATTGAAACATAATATTTGCCTAATTGTCGATGGCTGAAGTATTTATATACAATTTTAGTTTTTTTCAAGCAATCCTCAAAATCTACCCCCGAAACAACCTTGCAAACTGGGGCTTAAAAATATTATTACCAAATCGAAAGTTTATATGTTCATCTATACGACAAGTGTTAATGCAAAAAAAATCAGCCTCTTTTAAGCTGCTCTTAACAAGTAGCCCAAGAGTTTAAAAATACTGTAGTTGAGTCGAAAGTTTGCTGAATTCAACTCATAAAAATATCAAAAAGGTTATCGAGCTAACTCAATAATTTAGAATAAAACTTTGTTTTTTTAGAATGATTTGCTTTTTCTTTTTTCTTTTATAGAATGATTTGTTTTTTTCTTAATTATTATTTTTCTGTAATTGGGTTTTAAGCCTGTAGAAAAATAAAGTATTATTATTATTATTATTAATATTATTAATTCATGACCCATAGAGTATGAAAAATTAGGTCTCCTGGTTCAGTCTGTGTGCCGTCTGTTCAGATTTTTATTTGGCAGATAATCTCCAAAACTACCGAACGGATTGTATTTTGTATGTATGTTAGGAATATCGAGTAGATGGTAAAACGCTAACCAAAATTTGTCCAATCTCCCTATCAATGTTATAACATCTCAAAAATATTTATAATCCTAAATTTTATAAAATAGCATAGTCTTGTATTTGTTTTATTGGATACAAAATCGCAAAATCTAATTTTTTAATTTTTCATAGAAACAGGATTTGTGGCACTGCATTTCGGGGGCAAGGGTAGTCCTGTCGAAATAACTTTAACCAATTATTTTAAATGCTTTTGTTGCATTTCTTGCATTTAAATGCCATATTTTCCCGATATATGTTCAAGTTCCCCTACCCCTTTAACGGGAGATACGAGATAACAACACCCAATAAAATCAACCGTAAATAAATTTCTTGTAATGCGGGACAGAGAAAAAGAAGAAGCAAAAAACAAGAAAAAAAGGTGATAAGATATGTGAATGCTATCGAAAAATAGGCTTTACATTTAGAGTAAATAAGACTTATTCCAAGAAAGTGTACACCCCAAATGGAACAAACTCACACCTGTGAAGCCAGCCAGCAACTTTCGCTCAGAAAACACAAAAAGGAAGAAAGACCCTCAAAGAAAACAGGAACAAGTAAGCCAGTCTCCAAAACTCCAAATGTGCAGCGGTTAAATAATTCTCCGTTTAGTCACAGGGCAATCGTTTCGTACAAATTTGCTGCCACCAGAGGATTTTTTTTGACACTCCATAAATTAAGATCATGTCTCTTTTCTAGGTATTGGTAAACGAATATCTTGGCATTTTTGGAATAATTGTCAACTGCTCAAAAGTGACAAGAATGCAAACTTGGATTCATGATATTTTTTAAATTCTACTATGAATCAAGAAACAGAACAACAATGTATTGTGGGGTGCCTATCCGGATAGGTGAAATTCGTCTTTTACGCTAATATAGAGCTTGCTTTTATTACGCCAAAATTTAGCAACACTGTGGAAGTCTACTTTGTAAACTGCTGGTCTGTGCTGCGTTTACTATTTAGTGTTCCTGGTTTTACAGTTTATCATCTTGTCGAGTACTCTCTCTGTATCTATTGTGGTTCCCTGGTTGGCTGTTGCTGCTACATAACTCCAAGAAACATGGCAGGTATGTTTATCACTATAACCCATATAGCAAGTTATAAAAAAACTAATAACTTTTTTATTGTCAGGAAATCTAGAAGATTTGAAACAACTCTATCTGAAGCAGGGAAGAAACAAATTCCACGCTATATTTACCAACAAGAACGATCTTGCAGTGAAAGCATCTGTAGAAATTGACGAAAAGATCAAGGTTTATCCGAAACAGAACGCGGGTTTTCATTGTATGATTACTGGTGCACAAAATATCACCAAGTTTACTGCACACCGACACAGGATTATCGTGACTTTGAAACGTAAGCAGATTTTGACGCTCTACTTGAAGAGGGATAGCAGCTACTATCGACAAAAACATCTACAGCCTGTGGATTTACTTGATACAGTGACGTTTATGCTCGAAGAATTGACCCCATCGTCATAATCACAAAGACAATATGTTGTATGTGTAATGTTATACTTATATAAATAAAATATTTTCCAAGTCTGGGTGATTTCTTTCTCAAAATTATTATAAAAGTGACTACATTTTTAAACCAAAATAATCACGCGACGATACGAAAAAACCAGGTGTCTGTTGCACGGTTTGGAGTTAAATTTTTTCAAAATTTGTGTAGCAAAACTTTTCTAACTTTCAAAAATGGCTCGCACATATTGAATACAATCGGAATTAACTATTGTTTAAAAGTGTAACCAGTGATGAACGTGATATTCCACTTCACAACCGTGAGGAGAACAAAATCTCTTAAAAACGTTTTCACTTATTTTACCTTTAACATGGAATAGTTTTTGAAAATAATTTGTTACTAGCTCAGTAGAATCTACCAGTGCTAAATTGTCACATTCGAGTTTTATTTATAGTTATATAAATTATATCATCATGTTTTAATTACTGTTTTATCTAGGTAAAGATTCTACCGAAATGTCTTGGTATTTTCCAAATAAAGATACAATTTGAAATTTTTATAAAAATATTATTTTTGGATTATCATGTTTATCGTTGCCTATAATATCAGCATTCGACAATTTGACATTTGGCGCGCATGCTAATTTCCTAAAATGACTCACCTTGTATATTCTGCCTAAATACTTCGTCCTTGATCAAGCTGATTAAAAAAATGAAAATTAATTTGTTAAAGACATTTAATTATGATTTGCTGTATCAAAAGCTGCTACAATTTTGAAATTAAATTTATTATTGTGAATGTGATTGTATAGGCAACCAATTATACGCAGTGGGATTTATAAATTTGCTGTTCCCGCTGTTCTAGCTTTGTCCAGCTGAAAATTGTCATTTATAAACTCCGTTGTCAAGTTGGCGTTGATATTAACTTTGATGTTGAACGTTTGTCGTATTTATAGGGGTCGTAGAAGAAAAATGGACGATTTAAGTTGATTATTACAAAAATTTACCATTTTAGACATGTTTTATGTTTCTTGTTGTCGGAATTAGTCTACACATATTAAGAAAAAAAAAAAAAAAATGTAGCCCCGCCCACCCGCCCGATCTCAATTGTGATGATTTTTTTATTCGTCTCTACGAGAAATTAAAAACATGTTTTTGAGTATCGTGTTGTTCAAAGAATATTATGTATATTAAGAAAAAAATAAAGCTGAAAATTAGGCCCCACCCATACCCGCCCCGATCTCAATTCTTAATTGTGATGAATTTTTCATTCGTTAGATAGAGGGGCGGGGTTTAATTGCAAAATTTATGTTTGTCTACAAGAATTTACCATTCCAAACATATAAGACGGCTACGTATATTAAGAAAAAAGACAAAATATAAGCCCCACCCACCCGCCCTATCCCAAGTGTGATGATTTTTTTAATCGTCGATACCTAAAGGAGCGAAATTTAATTGCAAAATCCTTATTATTTCTCTAGAAGAAACTACCATGTAAGACATGCTTTTGAGTATCGTGTTATTCAAAGAATACTATGTATATTGAGAAAAAATTAAAGCCAAAGATTAAGTCCCACCCATAACTGCCCTGATCTAAATAGTAATGAAGTTTTCATTCGTAGGCAGACGTAGGGGTGGAGCCTAATTGCAAAATTGCAAAATCCATTTTTCTTACAAAAAGTTTATATTTTGCTTCTTTTTCTTAATATACATAGCATTCTTTGAACACCACGATATTCAAAAACATGTTTTTAATTTATTGTAAAGAAATAAGTATTTTCCAGTTAAGCTCCGCCCTTTTGGTTCACGGCGAATAAAAAAAATCATCACAATTGAAACAGGGCGGGTGGGGGGACTAACATTTTGCCTTTTTGTTTTAATATGTGTAGATTTCTTTTCACAACATGAAACATAAAACATGTTTAAAATGGAAAATTTGTATAAGGAAATCTATATTGTTTTATAATTTTGATTTTTTTTTTTCAAAAATCTGAGCGTTTCGGATAAAAACTCAATACGGCATCATAAACTACATGGGTAGGACTGTGTTATTTTGTACGATTTAAAACCCATTTACTATGTACAACGTACAACTTTGAAGTGGCCGAAACGGGAGACCTATTTCTTCGTACTCTAGGGGTCACGAAAGGTCAAGAAAACGTAAAAGTAGAGAGTCGGCCAACGGATTCGATTACAATACTTCCTTCGTTTACGCCCGGGAAATAAAAATAAAATTCACAAAATCAAATCTTCTGGAGCTATTCATCAGTTCTATATAAATTTTTTAGAACAAAACGTCGTGCCATAAAGGCGATCGCGTAGACTGGTTATGGGGAGGAATGAAAAAAATATTTTCAAAATTTAAACATATAGTTCGCTGAAAGTTTTAGTACAGTTATCGCTTAATTTGAGTGCAATAAATTCGTTTGCCAGGAAGATCACTCCTATTATTTAAAAAGCATGGAACTGTACAACAGATACATTTAATAAACTTACCTTTACGTCAATTTTTTTTACCTTAACTTTTCTATAATTTACAAATTAATATGAGTTCAATACCCACCCTCATTTTCAATTTCAGTTTGTTCTTTATTAATCCTTTTTTATTTTGTTTATTTCAGTTGTATGTTTTCCTGTAATCTCATAGGTTGGTGGAAATCGAAATAAAATTATTATTATATTTATCAATTTATTGTTATTAATAAGTCAAAATTAAAAAAAAAATAGAAAGCAAAACTAACCTTAATGGCTAAGAAAACAACTACAGATATTGAACATGTTTTTACAAAGATAAAAATCAAATACAGAAGTTAGAAAATTATGATATTAATTAATTTAATTCACCTAAATAAATTTGTTTATCACTAGCTCCTGACAAAACGATGGGTTCAGTAGGATGAAAATCGACGTCATTAACACTTCCATTATGTCCAGGCAGTTTATAAATTGTTCTCCCAGACGCAGTGTCCCAAATATACAACAATCTATCGGCCGATCCTGCACTAACTTTCGAACCATCTTTGGACCATGAGCACCTCAAAAGATTTTTTTCAAAGTTGTGTCGGTGTCCTGTACATATTTTAACACATCTTTCTTGTAATACATATGGCCTCACATCCCATATCCTCAAACTATTATCCCTAGAATTTGAAAGTAAATATGACCCATCTGGACTTAAAGCCAGTCCAGTGACCGCATCACTGTGTCCATTTAAAGTATAAATAATTTCTTGGTTCCGTATATCCCAAACTGTGATATCATTATCAATTCCTCCAGCGAAAATTTGCTCTGCTGTATCATTAAACGCGACGGCAGCCACCTGATAATTGGAATTGAACGTAGAAATTGTTTGTTGTGTACGGGTGTCCCAGAGTTTCACTGTTGTATCATCACTGCCTGATACCATCATCTGCGCTCCTCGTCTCGCTCCTTGTACTGAATTAACAAAAGCAGCGTGACCCTCGTAGTATTTAATCCGTTGTCCCGTTGGCAAATCCCACAAACCCAAAGTATGGTCTGTGCTCGCTGTGAAAATATTACTTCCATCGGGTGTGAAATGCAGTTCCATTATAGCCCCTGTGTGACCATGCATTACGGACAAATTCTCGCAGTTGCCGTAAACGCTCCACATAAATATCCGCCTATCAAAGCCCGATGAAGCCAAATGCTGGCCCTCTGGATGAAATTCAACTGTAAAAATTTCCCCTTCGTGTCCGTGCAGGTACATAGTCGGTGCGAACAGTTTTGAAGTCCTAGCCGGGGCCCCTTGCAACACAGATTTGTCTCCAGTGGAAATTTCCGCTTCATTCCCAGCTGATTTTTCAGCTGGCGACGTCCCTTCAGTGGCCATTTCAAGCCTGTAAACAATAACAATTTGATATATACTATCACACTGAGTTATATACATTTTCCTACTTACATTTCTGCCGCTTTATACATCTGTGACGTTCTCTTACTCGAGCAGCGGCGTCACTCTGCTCCCGAAGTGGACTGTACACACACCCTCATATACCTACCCGGTTTTTGAAACCACCCACTATTTACAGACCCTCGGAAACAACGAATCACGTGGCCAGTTTTCAAAAACAAACCCGCTTATTAATTCTGCCCCCTCCAACCCGAAGTAGGTATTTACATGTAAGAAATAATTAAAGTAAAAACCAGGAATTAATGTATTTAGTAGAACGGCTTAGAATTATGGTAATGATAAAATTTACAGCCTTATCTCTCCGATTGCTTGCCTGAAAAAAACAAAGGTTGTATGATTCAAAAGTGCATCAATAATGCATTTTTGTAAATTATCGCTATTATAAACTTAAGCAAAGGCATTGAATAAACACTTTTGCAAAGAGAAAGTCAATATTCACTAATTTCTCGTTACCATTGTTCAGGGAACTACCTGAGTCACCCAAGATAACCTTCGCATCATCCAATGGTCCATTTTAACATAAAAAAGTTTTGCAAGGATTTTAGGCCCGTCAGTGCGCCTCCCTTTGGGTCAGTATTTTTTAATTTTTAAATTTTGAATTGAAATCATAAACGTATTTTTTACGGATGTACGGATTTAAAATTTTAAAATTAGTTTAGTTTAAGCTATGGATGAACAAGTCGTAATTGTGTTTTTTAAGCACAAAAAATGTCATTTTAGAATTACGAAATCAAAAAATTGGTGTAAAGCTGTTTTTTATTTAAACAGAACTTCCCTCGTTTCTGAAGTGCAAGCGAATAAATACAAATTCTTCGGAAAAATTTAAAATCCAATTCTGCGGATTTCATTTTATTTATAAGTTAAATGTGTGAACTGTTAGAGTACAGATAAACAAGTTTATATATATGAGTTAAAGCGAGTTTTTCATAACAAAATTTTGTGACGACGTCATCAAATTTTTGGCAACGAGAAAATGCAATGAGCCGTTCTTGATTTCATCAACAAAATAGATTGCCTCAATCATTTTTTTTTGGGTCAGCCTGTATAGTAATTCTAAAAAATATGAGTGCGTTGATAAACCACAAGTTTGGTTCATAAAGTCTTGCATATTTTATATACGACCTATGATAAATTTTGATTAACGATTTACCATGCTTAAGACTACTTTAAAACGTTTGCAAGATCTCAGAGGTTTTGCATTTTCAAAGTTAAATTGCAAAATGTTGTTATACAATTTTATTGTTATTTTTTTTAATTTGAATGTCTTGGTGGTGGGGATGGTTAGCTAACTTTTGGGTCCATGATATGCCTAGTATACATATAAAATTTGACAAAAATCGGTTCAGTAGTTTTAGAGATTTTCTGTCTAATAAAAATAGGCACAAACGACAGACAGGCGGACGGTTGGAAGGACGGAAACGGGAAACCTCTTTTTTTCAAAAACTGAATTCTTATAAACAGATTTTTAACTTTAATGTAAAATTAATGTCAATTATTATTAATTATTCTCGTGGTCAATCTTTTCAGAACTCTGTTTGCTTATTCACTTAAAAAGGCATTTCCATTTGAGGAGAAAGCGTTTATGATTGAGTCTTATTTTCGAAATGTACAGAAAGTAAAAGGTGTGTGGAAGTAGGTACTCGATGAACTATCTTTTACTGTATCTCATTTCCGACAAAAAAATCGACAATGTCCTTGATACGATAGAGTTTTGTAAGCTGAAAACAGTGGTGAAAACGGCCTTCCGAAATTTCTTTATTTAAATGAGCTATGGATTTTTAAAATACGGTGTGTTCAATAAAAATGGGATTTACATTTTTTCGCAGTGTAAAATAACTTTTTTAATTTGTCATTTATTTGTCAAGTAGACAGTTAACACATTACTGCCAAACCTCATTTGAGCGAAATAGATAAAACTAACCTATTTCTTCGCAAAACTAGCATTTCGTTTTAAATATTGCTCCAAACAGCTATTTGTGAACAAAAAAATTTTTATTCGCGCAGATGTATACACGGTTTTAGTTCCATATTCACAAAACTGCTGAGAATAATTAATTGATCCAAAAAAATTATATATAGAGTTCTCCGCACTAAAATTTAAAAAATAATTTGAAAATATGACCATAAATAATCAATGTGACAAATACAGAAGGAATGGCTCCTGATACAAGTTTTCGACGTTTTGTTGATGAACAAAAATCGCTTTCAAAATGAGCACTATAAACCGTCGAATATTCTGATCATTTTTCAATATCAGTAAATAACCTTTACGCCAATCAGCAGCATAATTAGTCAATGGTATCTTCACTAAATTTACTTCCAGAAAAAAGTAAAATTCTTTACCAAAAAACCTATGATGTGTTCGTTGCATGGACAGCACGGAATCCATATTACTTCTCCGAAATTTACCACAAAGACTTAATAATAAGCTTGTGGCCAAAGTATTCTATGGTCCACTTTAAGTATCCATCATGATTTAGACATATCCAAAATAATGTAATCAACTAATAACGTCTAAAAATATTCACTTGTATGTTTGGTTGCATAATTTAGGTTTTGAATTTTCACTAATTTAATAAAATTACGATCGCCGGAAAAGTATGATAACTAATTCGACTGTTAATTAGTAATTAATAATTTCGAACATTAACAAAATATCTCGATTATTATCCTTTAGTAATAAACTTGTTTGTTAAATTTTGTTTTACTTCTTAACAAGTTAAATGCCTTGGGTTGTTCTGCGGAACTACTAGCTTTGTTAAAGTTTTATTAGATTGGTAGACAACAGTATGTGAGATATCGAAACTATACGACTTTTTCGCCATCTTCGGGAGTACCCGAGGGTTCCAATTTAGAGCCTCTCCTTTTTTTGCTGTTTATTAACGATTTGCTTGAAGTTGTTACTTGTGAAAGTCTCTTATTTGCCGATAATTATAAATTGTACACTGAAATTAAATGCACTGAGGACTTAAATCGACTGTCACTAAATGTCTCTATATGTAATGTTGCAACATATTCTAGAGAAAAAACAAACCATTAACTATCCATATGATATTTACTCAGTCAATATAAATCGTTTAGAGTGTATTAAAGACCTCGGCATTTTGTTTGATAATCAGTTTACTTTTGTTGGACACATACAAGACATGGTCAAACAAGCTTTCAGAACCTATGGGTTTATACATACCGTGAGGTTTTTTTTCTCTGAACATAGGATAATTAATGTTAAATTGGTTGCATACCTGCTTGTAATGGATTGACTTGGACTTTTAAAAACTGAACATAAAATCTAATCGAGATTTAGGATATGTCAAAGATATTCCCATTGACATTTGGCACTACTGTCTTCATGTATTGTAATAAGTACAAGTTTAAAGAACAGAAAATTTACATTATTGACCTTTTTAAAACAATTTCGTAAAAAATTTTACTGTAAATGTCATCGTTAACATGGCCTACTCCTCAATTATTACGAATCTTATGTGATCTTATGTTCAGTTTTTAAAAGTCCAAATCAATCCATTGGAGGATGAAACAACCCAACATACATGAATTATCCTATGTTCAGAGAAAAAAAAAACCTCACGGTGTATGTAGGAAGTTTGATATTAATTTTGACAATGCGAGTACGTTAAGCTGTGCTGTTATTGAAGAATTTGGCCTTTAAATTTAGGAAGTCTCATTTAATTTTTGTGCAGTTTAGCCCTGTTTCTTTTTATTTTTTCTTTTTTTTTAATTTTTATTTTATAATAGTTTCTAAACAACTATAATGTACTCTCTTAGTCATATACAGGGTGTTCATTTTATCTGTTCACGCCTGAATATTTCTGCATAGGCAACCCATTTTACGTTTCGTAAACAGCTATGATTAATTTTTATTTTTAAATAACAATGAACGCATAGACAGCAATGATCAGAACCAAAATTATGACAAATTATTTCTGTCAGCCAAATATTTTCAATTTTCGTTTGCTTTAAAATGTTTTCGAATTCAGAAAAAACAGGCATGCTATTAATATTGGGAAAGTGTTATGTATGGTATGTTAGATAGAGCCGAGACAGGTATTTTGAACATTTATTATAAATTTGTTTTCGTTGAAATGTGATCCATTAATAAATTGAGTATTAATTTTTTCAATTTTGTCATTATTTGGCATTGACATTTTTGTCATTTTTTTTTTCTGTGAGTGCTGATTGCTTATTAAAAAAAAATTAAATTATACGAAGTTGTCTCTAGGGTGTATTATATGTTGCCTATGCAAAAATTGTCAGGCGCGAACAGATAAAATGAACACTCCGTACATTCTTTTAACGTACTCACTCTGCTGTTTCATTTTATTGAATAGATTTTTTTAATTATTAGTCAATGCAGGCGAGTCTAGAAATTTTAAAAACTTTTTTTACAAATGTGACACATAACCTCAAAAACTAAACAAACTACAACCAAGAACAAAACATGGAGACTGAGTACTGAGATACCAGGTGACAATAACGAACAGGTGTAGTCGTTGAACATTCCTCTCCCCACTGTTTCGTCATGACGTCATTTATTAAAAAACTCACGGTTGGCTTCTTCGTGTGTTGGCACCTGGTTGGTACTCCTCTGATACATAGAAATTTCCATCAACATCTGTTTTGGAGGTACAAGGCCAACTTGATTTTTTTAAATAGCACGAGACTTAAATTTAAAATATTTTTTTAATCTTTTTTTTCCTTCCAGTAAAATGCAACACACGTCTTTCTTTATTTGCACTAAATGGTAAAAAAAATATATTAAAATAATACTGTTTGGATTTTTTTGTTTTATTTCAGTTAAATGTGTTATTTTTACAATTATTATGTTATTAACGTTTATTTAATTTTTCTATCAATGCACAGGTGGTAATAAAAAATTAAATACAGACAATATTTTCTAGGCCAAATAAATTTCACAAAATAAACAACCACTCCCATAGCTTTTTGACTTGAATTTTTCAGTTCTTCAGTTTTTTATTTTATTTTGTTTTTTAGTTTTGTGATTTGCAATTTTAGGAGTTTTCAAGTTTAAAATTGTCAGTTTTGTATTTTTCAACTGTTAGATTTAGCAATTTTTCGATTCGCCATTTGTCGTTTCGGTTGTTTACTTTCTTTATTTTTCCGACTATTCGATTTTTATCTATTTTAATTTTTTAAATTTTTCGTCTGCTCAATTTTTCGATTTGCGCTTTTTCAATTTCTCTTTATTTATTTCTTCAATTTTTAGAATTGCAATTTTTCGAGTTTTCAATTTTTAATTTTTCGATTCATTACTTTTTTTGTAACTTTTGGTTTTTCGACAATTTTGACGATTCAATAATTTTTCGATTTTTATTTTTTCGGTGTTCCGATTTATCTCTTTCTTCAGTTCTTCGATTTGCAATTTTTCGATTTCCCACTTTTCCAATTTTACAGTTAAATTTTGCAATTTGTCAACTGTTTGAATGAAAAAAATGGAAAAATGTAAAATTGAAAAATCAGAAATGGAAAAGTATAAAATGAAAACTTTAAATATCACAAAAATAGGAAATATTGACTAATCGTAAAAACGAAATATGGTAAAATTGAAATATTGGAAATTAAAGATATCGTAAAATCCGATAATTGAGAAATCCAAAAATAGCAAAATTGAAAAATAAAAAAAATTGAAAATTCGAAAAATTAAAAAATCAAAGATTGGAAATTTGTGTGAATAAACAGAAAATTATAAAATCAACAGAAACATTGAAAAAATAAAGGAAACGAAAAGTTGTCAGATAACACCGAGACAATTAAAACAGTGAGAAAATCAAAAATAAAAATTAAGAACTCGCAAAACTGAAAAATCAAAAATTGACAAACTGAAAAATGACAAATTGCAAATCGAAAAATTGGCAAATTAAAGTTAAAATTTTAAACCGAAACAAAGAAAAATTGAAAAATTAAAGAAAATAAACAACGAAAAATTGTGATACCAAAAAATTGGTCGCACGTAAATAATTCCACATTTTTCAAAAAATTATAAGATTTGATTTTACGAATTTTATTTTTCATTATAATAATAAATAAATTTAGGTTAACGATTTATCATCCTTACGATAAACTTATAACGTTTGGAAAATTTCAGAACATTCGGTTTTGCAGTTTCAAAGTTAAATTATAAAATGTTGTTATAAAATTTTATTTTTTTTACAAAAATCTGTGTAGGGTGAAAACTCAACACGGATTCATACACCACAAATGCAGGAGAGTTTTATTTTATAAAAATAAAAACAAATTTGTTATTGTAAAACCATCTACATGACAGTTCTAATATACATACAAAATTTCACAATCAGTTCAGTAGTTTCAAAGAATATCTGTCTAATAAAATTCCACAACGTAACTTAAATTAAGTCCTACGCGTGTTTTTTCTTGTGTAGATAAAAAGCTGATCTATTTTTAACTTCATAAGGACATTGCTCACATTTGTACCACTTAGCATCTGCTCCATCCAAATGACGGTGATTTACATGACACTTTAAATCGCGATTGTGTTTCGCCCTGTATGTACAATATCCGCACTGATACGATTTCATCTCCAAATGAACCCTCACATGCCATGTTAAATTTCTTTTTGATTTACTTTTATATGAACAATTCGCACATTCATACCATTCTGGGTGTTTTGAATGACTACCATTTATGTGCTTCTTTAAACATGAATTAAATTTAGTTTTGAAAGGACACTCTTCACATTCGTACAACTTGACATCTTTTCTATTCAAATTCCCACAAATTACATGACGTTGCAAATCCAGAGCGTTTTTAGTTTTGAATGGACAATTTGCACATTCATACCATTTAACTTGTTCTTCGTCTGGGTGTAGATTATTTATATGACGTTTTAAATTCGACGCGAGTTTCGCTTTAAATGGACAATTTTCGCATTTGTACCATTTTATTTCTTCTTCGTTCATATGTTTTCTAATTATGTGTATCTTTAAATCCGCTTTAGTCTTAGCTTTGAATAAACACTCTTTACATTGGTGCCATTTAATGTCTGCTTCGTCTAAGTGTAAGAAATTTACATGCCTTGTTAAACAGTGTTTTAACTTAGTTTTAAATGGACATTTTTCACACTTGTACCACTTAGCATCTTGATCATCTAAATGGATACTATTTATGTGACGTTTTAAATTAATTTTAAATCTAGCTTTGTACAAACATTTAGCACAATAATACCAGGTCGCACTTTGAAGCTCTTCTTTCTTGCTCATGCATTCTGAAGTATGTTGAAGCCATTTTAATGAAAAATTTGTTTCAAAATTGCATTTTTCACAGACGTAGTTTTGTATGTAGAAGAAGTAGTCCTCACTTAATAAATCGCCTCTAGAGTCGCTTTTAAGGTTATGACATTTATCAATGTGTTGTTTGAAACAAAGTGTTAGCTCAGTTTTAAAATCACACTCTTTACAGTAATACACTTCAATTTTGGCATTGTCACATGTAAATTTTTCCAGAGATGAATGGTGTCGTCGTTTGTGGTTCCTCATAAGAAAAAGTGATGCTGTAGAATAGGAACATAATTTACAGGTGTGAACGTTTTTCCTTGATGATCTTCCTCGCGCTGCCAATGTTTCTGAGCATTTCAAAGTTGACATTTTGTTTGCCTAAAACCGTTTTATTACATTGTGGAAATAAATGCAGCTTTGTTTACCTCAATCTCATTTACTGCGATAACTGACGGTTTAAAAATTACAATATCTTTGAGAAATTTTTAACCCTCACGGTTGTCACACACACCACTGAACGATTTCACCACTAAAGAAATGCCACCGCATAACCTAACATTTTTACGTCAAAAATGAGATTTAGAATTTTTTCAAAAATAATAGTTTAGCTTAAGTCGGTCAAGTGTATGAATATCCTTGCTTGAACCATGGAGGAAAGAATAAACCAAAGGGAGTACGAGGCCTAAAATCGTGGCTTCGACTCAATCTTGCAAAATGTCATAGAAGAAAGAAGAGGTAGAGTGCCAAGCCAGAGAACATAGAGAAGCGACATAGAGGCTGATTTTGCAAAACCACCCTTATTGACACTGGAGTCCTCAACCGCCAAAGGCAAGCGCCAAATTTAAATAGTCGACGCCCATAAAAACCTTGTTTCACTATAATTGTAATTCGTGTGACCTGAATGAAAGTCAAGGAAACAGTAAGCAGCTTGTAATATTCTGGTAAATTTAGTGTCAATTTGTCGGAAATAAAACGCGTCGTTAAAAATATTATGACATTTCTTCTAGTTACTTTTATCCCTAGTTAGAAACAAACACTGCTACCAACATAAATTGAGGAGTCCGCAACCACAGTATAGGTATCAATCAGTAGAGACAGCTCGTGTCTTCGCCTGTGTTCTTTCTGACCCGAATTTTAAGCCGTCATGGGTGGTCGTTGCCTAAACTATTCCTAGATGTCGCCACCCAATTTAAAAAGTATCACTTCATTTACAATTTCAAAAATTGATTCGTGTACCCAATTTATTGTAAACTGTGTAGTTTGCTCAAATCGTATAATCGTGAATCGCAACAAGAAAAAAGAAAAGTCGATATTTAATTTATAAACACGATGATTTGTTTCAGTTTTTATTTTATTACTTATACAATTTGACAATTCGCACATTCTTTCCCCGAATACTTGAGGTTTAATTATCATTGTAAAAATAATGTAATAAATACATCTAAAAGAAAGAGGTTTATTTAAGAAAAAATAAATAAAATAAAAAATTAAATTACAAAAATGAAAAAAGTTAATGCTGCCAAATTATTTTCTTTCGATTAATTTTTTCACCTTTGGCATTTGTAAATTTAAAGCTAGCATTTACAAATTTTAGTGCATAAAATAATCTCATCCTAGCATACAAAGCAAGCAAATAATCGTATGGAAAGTTTTGGCATGGATGAACAAATGTAGCTTGCTTATATAAATTTAAAAATTTCAACAAAGTAGTTGTTTGTAAAATTATATTTTCAAAATTTTCACTAAAAATTTGCTCTAATTCACAAATGTAAAAAAAGAGAAATTATCGTTTGGCATATATATTTAATTTACCAAATAACTCGCAATTCTTCGTTTGGTAGGCTCTGAAATGTGAACATATGCTTGTGTTGTCTAAACTTTTATGTTCATTTGCATATTTTTCACATTCACTACAACTATGTACTAATAACCATTTCCGAATTAGGTAGCCACAGATATATCTAATTCGTTTTGTTCAGCTGTGTGAAAGTGATAATCACAATCTTTTAAGGTGGTCTTCTGCATCGTGGTGACTGAGTCTTCTTCATCAAAACGACGACCTACATTTAATTTTAAAATTTCTTCCATATCAGGCTCGCAGTTTTGATTACCTGTGTTCGT